ATTTGCTACAGTATGGTAATTGCATACACACACACAGACACACACACACACACACACACACACACACACACACACACACACACACACACATACACACACACACACACACACACTCTTTTCCCACTAATAAGAGGGAATATACATTGAACTGTAAACGATTAGGACCAAGTGGGCTTCCACCTCCTCACCACCCTCTCCTTTTCCTACCTAAGAAGGAATCTACACTGAACTACAATACGATCAAGACCCCTGTAAACTACCCCCCTACCCCGACTTCCCCACACCTTTCCTCTACCTACTATAAAAGTAAAAGGGAATACACAGAACTTAAAACGATGAGGACCTCTATAAACTACACCTACTCCACCTTTCCCACCCCTTCCCCCCCCAGGCTACAGAAGCTTTTGCATGGTCGGACACATGGCCTGTGAAGTACACCCTCTGGGACAAGGATGAGCCCGATCGTAAGCCCAACGAGGGTTGTGTGAGCCACACAGTGGATGGTCGATGGCAGGACGTGCCATGTGAGATGCAGATGTCCTTTGTCTGTGAACACAGTCTAGGTGCGTTCTTCAACAGGGAAATCTCTTTGTTTTGTTCATTTTTGGGGGCAGGGGGTTATTGCTCTTAAGGCTGTAAAACACATTTTTTCCCCAACTGAAATACCATATGGAAAGGTCACATGTGACTATATGGTTGAAGCTTATAAGGACAAATGTCTGTTGTAAAGGATTTATTACAAAATGTTTTTCTTCAGCATTTTCTCCCCAAAGTTTCAGTTAGATGACTGTAGTATATTATGTACAATACATAATATACAACCAAAAGAGTACACCCCTGTATTTCTAAGTGAACTGTCCCTGTCTTCAGTTTGTATCATACTGGGCTATAAAATGCGGATGACCCTGGATCCACTCACCTGAGAGGCATTCTTGAACTTTGGTTATTTGGGGGAAGGGGGGGGGGGGTTGGGGTTCAAGGCTTTTGCTTTCTTACCTCAGTCTCGCCAGAGATGGATGTTGTATTCAAAGGTCCCATCTCTTAAATAGAAATATCTATACCTGAGGGGCTGAGATGCAAAACTTACTACATCCATTTTAGCACTTTTGAAAAAATCAGCTTTTTTAATTCTGCTATACACACGAGCATGCGTAAAAAGATTTTTCAGCCGCATTTCTGAAGTATGCGTTGGGCTTTGGCTGAAAACACTTTGTGCTTCTGATAGACGGTAACCATGCACAATTTTTTCCAAAATGTTGCTTAGTGAGTTTTGCATCTCACCCCCTCATATAGAAAGGACAGGAGTACAATTTATGAGTGTATTGCTGTCTTGTGCCAACCGGGGGTTTTTTTCTCCAGTTTTTAGATTAACCTCTGCGAGGGCACTGAATTCCAGTTCCTAACTTGTATGAACCATAAACATTGACCCTAAGAAAATTGGGAATTTTTCAACAGCCTTGATAGTTGTCACCAAAACTAAAAGTCGGATATTGAATGTCATTAAATTTGTGAATTGCCTCCACCTTTCTTTCATTTCACTGTCTTGTTCCCAACCCACCAGTTCGTCCACCCACTGCTAAGCCTCCAAAGCCCGCCTCATGTCCGCGTGGATGGGTGGGGCTAGGCAACAGCAACAACTGTTACATGCTGGAGGCGAAGAGTCTGAAGAGCTGGTCATCGGCCAGTTACGCCTGCACCATCTTAGGTGGACATCTGGCCAGTATGCACACAGCTGAGGAGAACCAGTTCGTGGTCAGTCAGGTCGCTCGTGGAGGGAAGGACACCTGGATTGGCATCTCCAAAGGACAGGGAAGTGAGTGACGTGCTGTGAGGGTTTTTGAGATGCCCGTGTTTGTTTGCTTAAATGTTTGTCTGGGTTTTTGTTTGTTTTTTTTGTTGTTTGACCATTCTTTGAATTTTTATTTATTTATAATTTTATTGAGCTATAATTTTTCACTCTGATATATGTAAAGTTGCCTGGAATGTTGTCTGTCAATTTATTTTTGTAGTTAAAGTTTTATGGCACTTGCAACATAATAAGGTCATTAAAAGTGCCGATGTGTCAATTTGTAATGGAACATAAGTTTCAAAACTCATCCAAACACACACACATAAATGCACACACACTCGTACACACACACACAAACACACACAAACACACTCTCACACAAACACTCTCACACACGCACAATACATGTTAATGTGCAGAATTGGTAGGAATGAAAACATCCCGGGCTTGTAGTGGTTAAGGTCTGTGTTCTGTAGCAGTCTATAAAGCCTAGTTGCTGTTTGTTGACCCACTTCATTCTCTCCCAAGAAGAACTGTCTTTTCTTTCAGCAATTTTGGCTCCTTCAGTGAAAGTCATTTTGTTCTTATGGTTACTTACTTACTTACTACCCATTTCACCATCTGGCGTTTAGGGCAGCAACTTATGATTAATACTGGATCCTAACTGTCTATCTCACTGTATATTCTTGACGGGGCTGGTGTAGTACAACAAAAGGGTTAAAACGATGAACCAATCACTTGAAGTCAAGTTGGGCTTTGATCAGGAAGGCAGTTGACAGTTAAAGTAAATTTTGACTCTCATTTCTCAATTCAAAATAAAGGAGACTTTTGTGTAGTAGGACATTACAGCGACTTAAATATGACCCTACTGTGAGTGGAGACCTGACATATGTCTGTGTAGTAGGTCAAGTAAGTTGCAAATGAAGGACTCAAGTTTACTTTTACTCCACAGATTACAGAGATTATGATATTTGAAATAATTTTGCCTTTATGCTTTTACTTCTCAGTCTATAGAGATTATTTCTTTCTATAAACTATACCTTCATTCTTCTACTACAGAAATTTATCACAATGGTTTCACAGACTATGTTAATTGTCACATTGGAATAAATTTTACCATTATACAATTACTTCTTAGACTACAGAGATTATCACATTGGAATACACTTTCCCTGTATACTTTTACTTCTCACACATTGGAATAAGTTTCATCTTCCAATCCCCAGCCGGTTTCTCCTGGAGTGATGGGACGGCTCTCAACTTTATGTTCTGGACACCAGGGGAAGGAGCCATAGACGATGACGACTCCTTGCACCAGGACTGTGTTGTGGTCAGTGGCACACCTTGGACGGGGGGGTGAGGTGTATGAGATGTGGGGACTGGACTGGGAGTGGGGATGAGGGG